ATGGTACAAACAAAATAAAAACAGCAGCTGAAACGTGGAACGTTATTGACTTTGTTTTCCCTTTTTTTGCAGCATCTTAGAACCCCAGCAAGCGAGCGAAGGAAGTAAGAAAATTAGGAGGAAAAGGAAATGGAGTAAAATAAGGGTGGGGGGTTGGGCTTTAGATGCTTAAGATGATTTGGATTGGTTTCTTCGTGAATACAGTTACACAATGTTTGTAATGCAGACACGCTTTATTTTGACCACAATTGTTTTTTTTGGCTTTGTTTTGTCTGGTTTTTAGTATTATTTTTTTTGTATTTGTTAGGGATATGAGACCGATTTTTTTTGAGGCCCATTTTTTTTTGTTTTGACTTTTATTTTTTCTCTGGTCAATATAATTGTATTAACGACATTGACAGGCGTCAGTGCCACCTTCAATACGAAGCATTGAAGGAGAATGCCAATTATTCCCACTGCGGCTAAGGGCAAACCTGTCACGCTTTTTCGTGATGAGGATAGATGGTGTGATGGAAGGTATGACCCGATGACGACTTTTTGTTATAAAAGGGAATTGCATTCTTTGCGCTTCTTTTTTTTTTACATATATAAAGTGCAAGTGCGTAAGTTTGATATATGCTTAAATAAGTGGATGTGGGTGTATGTGTGTGCCAGCTTTTGCGTGTTCACGTCTGCAGTAACTGCAGCAGCTGCTTGTAAGTGGTCCACTTCCTTTTTTTTGTTTTTGTTTTTGATGTGGCTTTTGCCCCGTTTTATGGTTTATAGTGCATGGCGAGAAAGACGAGGAGTGGGAAATGGAGGGGGGCGATGAATGGCGAGCGTTAGCTTTTGAGGCGGCTGTAGGACGTCTCTGTCAGCTACGGCATCAACTAGAGACTCGGATAAGCGCAAGATGCAGGGCGTCTTGGGAGGACGCGCACAGTTCCTCACTGAAGCCCACTGACGCCGAGGCAGCCGCGTTATCTGTGTTCGATGACGCCTGTGAGAGTGGCTCTCTGTTTGCCTTTGTGACGTCTGACGATGGGAGTGAGTCTGCCTTGCCGGGGGCGTTGCAGGCGTGTCACGGCTTGTTTGAGTTCGCCGATCAGGAGAACTCTGTTGTTCTCACGCATGGATATGACTCGCTTGGGAAAGGGGCACACTCCAATGTGTACCGAGGCACGCTGTGTGTAACAACGGTGAGCGGTGTAACGAGATATGATGCGGCTGTGAAGATAAATCGTTTGCACATGGGCAGTGTCGCTGAGGTTGACCGCTGGATGCGTCTGGTCCAGCTGTGGCGGTTGGTGAAGCACCCATGCCTGGCTTATTGCTACTACGTGGGACTCCCGCCAATGGAGGGCGATGAGGAGGTGATCAGCATATACGGTGCTTATGAAATTATGTTGGGTGGCACCTTGGACGCCTCCCTGAAGAGGGAGGAGCGATTCAGCGAGGATGTAGTTCGGGCCATTCTCCTTGATCTTCTTCAAGCTTTGTACTACCTTCACGATGAACTCGGGGTGGTTCACAATGATGTCAAGCCACAGAATATTCTTCTTGTTGTGGATGAAGCAACCCAGCAAGTACGATACAAGCTAGCAGACTTTGACCTTTTGTGCCCCATCACATTTTCTAGCTCAGAAATGGTGTTATCTACGGGGCAGATATTGGATGGAGGTAGGCGTGATGCCGATGAGCTCACCTACGGCACACCACCGTATATGTCTTTTGAGAGCTGTCGCGGGTTTCCGTTTCTGCCCAAGAACGACATTTGGTCGGTAGGCATTTTGACCTATCAGCTTTCAACGGGAAGGCTGCCGTGGAGTCCGTTGGAGTTGTGTGTGCCGTCGATGATTTTGCATGGCCACCGACAGGACTCTTCAAATTTATTTGGGCCATCGCTGGAGGAGTTCGAGAAGGACTTTTGCCATGTCTACTCAGAGGAGCTAAAGGACCTGGTGAGGATTTGTCTTGCTGATGAGGCCAGTAAGCGACCAACTGCTGCTGCGCTTCTTCAACACTCTTTTTTTTGTTCCTCAGTGAGGTGAATTTGAGTATAAACACTCTCAGCATATATATATATATATATATATGGCTGGGTCGTTGCTGCGTAGGCTTTTTTCTTTGTTTCCGTGCGTTTTGATGTCCGAAACAAAAGGCTCCGACTACAAAAGTGCCGTTAGATTTCAATAAAAAGGGATGCACCTGCGCCTCGCGGTCTCCAATATTTCTCTTGGGACGCTCGCACGCCGGCGCCGCTGTGTCGCCATCTTTTGCTCTAATTGAACTAAAATACTTTTTCCTTTTTTTTTTATTTGTGGTCTGGCAACCACAGTGGAAAGGCTTTGTCGCTAAACAGCTCAAGTAACGGTATGTTTGAGCGCCAGTACTTTGAACACCCACGGTGCCACGTACTTCAGCGCAATCGTGGCAACAATGAGGCTGTTGCAGGCCCTCCCTCTGTCTCTCACATAGGGGAGGCAGTGAGCGAACAAGAAACGGGGCTTCTGAGCGATAAGAAGGGCGTACCAAAGAGATCCGTGTCTGCGCTCATGTTGCTGGGTATTATGTACACATATACTACATCCGGAGCCTATGCGATTGAGGAAACTGTACTGGGTGGGGGGCCGCTTCTTACCTTACTTGCCGTCACGTTGATTCCGATTCTGATGGCGTTTCCTACTGCAGTGGTTGTTGCTGAGCTTGCGACTGCAATTCCATCCAATGCGGCCTATTTAATGTGGATTAACCTTTCCTTTCACCGTGTCGTCTATTTCACGATGGTGATTCTATCCCTATTGCTAATGTTTGTCGATAATGCACTTTATCCAGTGCTTTTCTCCGACTATGTATGCGCTTCGGTCCCTTGCTCCACTGCAACAAGCAGAGCGCTTCGTGCTGGCATGCTGTTTCTAACGTACATCTTGAACGTGTTGGGGATACAAGCAGTTGGGACAGCCAGCGTTGTGCTGACTGTCATCACCATTATTCCGTTTTTGGTGATGTTCACTATGTATCTTGTTAACAACACCTTTTATTTGAACTGGCCAGCTATAAGCTTCATTCCGCCCGAAATTGATTGGCCAACCTTTGTTTCCACGGCATCATGGAATCTTTGCGGTCTAGAACAGGCTGCCGCAGTCTCCGAGGAAATTAAGGCCCCGCATCGAACTATTATTCGTGCGCTTATTCCGCTTTTGGGACTAGCGTATTTCACCTATATCCCCCCTATCCTGACAGGCGCAAGTGTGAAGAAAGGTCCACCTGACTTACCTGAATGGACGACGGGGTACTGGTCAATTGTTGCCGCGAAGATCGGTGGGGTTCCACTACAGGTTTTCCTGGTTGTCGGAAGTGGTTTTTCAGCATTCGCACTGATGCTCTCGTCTCTATGCACGACGACACAAACCATCGCTGGTGTTGCGTACACGGAGGTTTTCCCAGGGCCCGTGAACCGGATATTGTACACGCGCAATGAGCGTTTTGGCACCTTTCATTGGACAATAACGATTAACGCCCTTATCACAGGCATTTTCAGTGTGTTTTTTGATTTTGGGCCGCTTGTGAAAACGGACCAGGTTTTGTATGGCATACGCGTGGTGATGATATTTCTGGCTTTTTTCATCATGCGCCACCGCTACCCGCAACTGACTCGTCCATTCAGAGTGCCACTGGAGGGGTACAAGCTTGGTGTATTGCTTTTCCCAACGATTCTTTTTGTGGCACTGACAGTGGTTGCGGCCACTGATGATCTTCAGACGATTATAGTAAATTTATCGGTAATTTCCGGCACCATCCTGCTGTCGTGTATTTACTGTTTCTTTATTCGCAAGGGGGAATTCTACGGGCGAGTGGTGACGGAGACCGTTGAGGAGCTGGCGGAGGGTTGAGGTGAAGGTTTTGATGCCCTTCGTTTCATTATTATTAGGGATATAGTCTTCACGGCCATTTGTTTCTGACTGTTGGACTGGGCGACAATGGCGTCATTGGAGGCACACTTCGTCCCCATCTTCCTCCCCTTTCCCGTCGCGTGGTGCATTCATTAGAGTTGGGGAGGGCCCTGCGGGGGTTACGCCGTGAAGCACAGAGTAAATAAATAAGAATAAAAGATCGTTATGGTACAAACAAAATAAAACAGCAGCTGAAACGTGGAACGTTATTGACTTTGTTTTCCCTTTTTTTTGCAGCATCTTAGAACCCCAGCAAGCGAGCGAAGGAAGTAAGAAAATTAGGAGGAAAAGGAAATGGAGTAAAATAAGGGTGGGAGGTTGGGCTTTAGATGCTTAAGATGATTTGGATTGGTTTCTTCGTGAATACAGTTACACAATGTTTGTAATGCAGACACGCTTTATTTTGACCACAATTGTTTTTTTTGGCTTTGTTTTGTCTGGTTTTTAGTATTATTTTTTTGTATTTGTTAGGGATATGAGACCGATTTTT